CACTGAAATGACTGGCCTGAGGTAATACACAGAGATGAAGTAAATCCTCCTACATAAGTTGTACCTGTTTATCTGCAGTATTCTCTCCTCTATATCCATTCAAAGTGTTGAATTTATAGCTTGTCTGAAGAGTTGGGAAAAAAGGGGGCAGAAAGCTCAATGAGGAGAGCTCTAAGAACTGATTGGATAGAAGAGACACACCCTCCTTCACACTGCACAGCTTAGGCTGTCAATCACAGGCTGTGTGCTAGAGGTCCCTCTCCTGTCACCTTTTTTACGCTTGGTGTCAGGCAAATTCATCAGAAGTGACTCATACTGATAGCAGAGGAACAAAGCAGAAGACAGAAATGACACTGCTCTGGATTGAGACAAACACACACTGTAGAGGCATATACTTTGTTCATATTTCATGGCCACTTTAATTGTTCTACCACCCGTGCCTCCAGTTTTTGCTGCCTTCAAGAGCTACTGTGCTGGAGAATGCTCTTCACCCGACAAACTTCCAGACGTTGGATTCCTGGTCCCTGGTTCCTTCTGACAAGTCCTGCAACATTACCGTGTAGGGTCCTGTAAAAGAAACTACAGAGCTTGGTGGAGGACTAGGAACTATTTCTAATAAAGTGGATTCTACAGGCACCATAGCTTTTGAAGAGAGCAATGATTGGCAGTGCAGGGAACAAAGGCTGTTCATTTTGTGATAGGGTTGCTAGTCCTAGTTTGCCTTGTATGACTGTGTATGCTGGGAAAACACAGGCCTAGACATGAAACACACCCCTAAGTCAATCATGTTTTAGCACATTACAAATGTATGCCTTATCAGCTGAATATAAGTGCATCTTCTATTCCCCTGCAAAGTCACAAAAATATCTGTTGAGCCTGCCAGTGAAGTCCTTTTAATGTAGCTTCCTGTGATGGTGTGGCAACAATGCTGCACTGCTCCTGAACTCAGAGCATAGTTGCCACTCTAATGTAGGCTGTGTCTGCTTGCACTACAGTGGGATAAACAAATGTTGAAGAGGGCTGTGGCTATCAGCTATGTCACTACTAATTAACAAGCCTGTAGGTTATAAATCAGCACCTGGCCACACCTAGTCTTGGCCACCGCTTACTGGATTGACAGCACTGCCTCTGTTGCTGAAACCCTCCCTCTGTGAGCTGCAGTATCTGGGTGGGGTGAGAGTCAGAAATGAAGGAGGATTTGGCTCAGACAGGGAACGTAAAGGATGTTTTTGGTTACTTTATGAGGTTTGTGCATCATATAGCAATTGGGTTTGGTACTTGTTTAGACTGTCATACAGGAGCCTTTAGTTTTACTTTAACAACTTTAACAACAATTAACGTGTACATAAATGGCCAGACAGGACCAGTGCAGGAGCGGGTGGCCGTTTATAAACGTCCTCCTGCATGCCCTGCCTGTGTGCGCACCGATCGCTGTACTGGGCCTCTGTGTGAGGTCTGTGTTAGGTCCCGATCATGTGATCACTGATTGGCCAATCAGTGATCACATGAATAGTAGTAAGCAAGATGTCACTTCCCTGACATCATTGCTTACTACGTGTGAAATCTGTGAATGATCACAGAGGTCACATGGTACAAGGCTATTCATAACAGCCTTATACCATATGACAAGCTCTGACCAATCACAGCTCTCACAGTATTTCTCAATGGCTGCAAGAATGCAGCCAGAGAGGAGAAATTATTGCGTTTGCAGCCTTTATGGGTGTAAAAGCAATCCGTGTAAAAAGAAAAAAAATCTTCATTAGCCCCCACAAGTAGTACAGTGTCACTATGGTGACACTGTACTGCTAGGGTGACAGTATGTAAAAAAAGACAAAAAACATAAAAATAATAATATAAAAAAATAAAATAAACATGATTTTTTTTTAAATTTTAATTTTTTGTTATAAACTAATTTGGGTTATTTATATTTTTACTAAAAAGATATCTGAATACATTTTGGCCAAGATTTATAAAGAAAGATTATTTATTTGCAAAATTTTATAAGAAAAAACACTTTTTTTTCAAAATGTTTGGATTTTTTTCATTTATATTGCAAAAAAATAAAAAATCCCAGTGGTGAATAAATGCCACCAAAATAAAGTTTTATCTGTCTCAAAAATATGCTAAAAAATGAATATGGGTACAGTGTTGCATGACTGCACAATTGTCCTTCAAAGTGTGATAGCGCTGAAAGCTGAAAATTGGCCTGGACAGGAAGGGGGTAAAAGTATCTGGACTTGAAGTGGTTAAAGTACAGGAATGAATTGAGTAAAACAATGGTTCCAACTCCTTTAGATTGTAAGCTTCATGAGCAGGGCCCTCACATTCCTTCTGTACTGAAATGTATTGTAATTGTACTTTCTCCCTTATATCGAACCCCTCGTGTATCACATTGTATTGTTATTGTACTGTCGCATGTATTGTCTCCCATTGTATTGTACAGCGCTTAGCAAACTGTTGGCGCTTTATAAATACTGTATAATAAACTGAACCTCTCCAAAACCGAGTTTCTTGTCTTCCCCCCCAGCCCGGACACCACCCCCCCCATTGACTTCTCCATCACATCCAACAATGCCACCATCAAACCCGCCCTGCAGGCCAGAGTACTTGGTGTCATTCTGGACTCCAACCTATCCTTCCAGCCCCAAGTCCAATCTTTAACAAACTCGTGCAGACTCCACCTCCGCAACATCGCCAAAATCCGCACGTTCCTAACCCCAGAAACCACTAAACAGCTCATCCACTCCCTCATCATATCACGACTCGACTACTGCAACTCCCTCCTCACTGGCCTGCCTCGCCGCTGGCTATCCCCACTTCAGTCGATCCTGAATACGGCTGCCAGACTCATTCACCTTTCCAACCGCTCCGTTTCCGCCACCCCCCTCTGCCAATCCCTCCACTGGCTTCCGATTGCGCAACGGATCAAATTCAAAATCCTAACACTGACGTACAAAGCCGTCCACCACACTGCCCCGAACTACATCACTGACCTAATATCCAAGTACCACCCAGCACACACACTCCGCTCCTCACAAGACCTCCTTTTCTCTAGTTCCCTGGTCTCCTCCTCCCATGCCCTCCTCCAGGACTTCTCCAGGGTGCCACCCATTCTCTGGAACTCCCAACCCATCAGATTATTACCTACTCTCCTCTCCTTTAGGCGCACCCTGAAAACCCATCTCTTCAGGGAAGCCTACCCCACCCCCTGCTAACTTGCCGACCTCCTCCACTCCTCCTACTACTCCGTCCCCCACAGCTATCTCCTCCTGTGCCACCATCCCCTCCCTCCTAGATTGTAAGCTCCAAAGAGCAGGGCCCTCAATCCCCTCATGTTTTGCATTGTATTGGTATTGTTTTGTCACATGTTCTGTCCCCCTTTGTAATGTACAGCGCTGAGCGAACTATTGGCGCTTTATAAATACTGTATAATAATAATAATATTGTAAAGCGCTGCGCAAATTGTTGCCGCTATATAAATCCTGTATAATAATAATAACTCAGCCTATGCTATTTACAGGGATGCATAAAGTTTAATTATAGGGAACGGCACACGATATGATAAATAAAAATATCTTATTCACTTTTAGTTTTGAAATGAAACACTGAAAAGTGGTATCCAGTTCCTATTATAATACATAAGGTCGTCTGTCCATGTAATTAGATAAGTCGGCTTGTCTGCCTCGCCTATACATTCGGTAATGTTTGTTAGTCCAGGGTCAGCTTGTAATATTCCATCATCTTCCAGTTTATCGGACATCAGCCTGCCCACAGGTGCCATTAATTCTAACACTGTGATTTTACAAGCCACACAAGATACACAGTTCAGATTACACAATTCTTTTGTGTTTTCCTTAATGATTGCTAGAACCAGCCAAGGGTGTTTTGCCCACGTTCCCAAACAGCACTTTTGCGGCCCTGCTGGAAAGGAATAGCAAAGCAATCCCCTATGAGTAAGACAAGTTTGCTTGCACACAGCGGGTATGCAGAAGGGGGGACTTAATAAATGCTTTGATAACTGTGTAAGTGCATGGCTGCACCAGCCAGCCAACAGGATAAAGACTGGGAGACCTTTCCACCACTAATACAGCCCTGACATTGCCAAGTCCCACAGAGGAAGTCGAGGAGATACGCTGTGTATGAAGGCGTGTGTACTGATTCTGCCGGAGCAGACGTCTCCATGCCATTTATTTATCATGGCAGTGTGTCCAGTGGCTAATGGGGCTATTGGTTGGGAGGCAATTGCAGGAGTCGTCTGGTCTGACCAGGCCGTGCTCCTGCGGAGTTGAGTCTGCAGTTTTTGTTCTTCTGCTTTTTTTTTTTGCCTTTGATATATTGAGTTACAGAAAAGCATTTTTTTCCTTAAGGGCTGGAAACGGAAACATTTAACATTTGTTTTGTTTTTCAAGATACTCTGAAAATATAGTATTTTCAGCAAAGCTACAATTAATCCTTGTATGAATATAGTGTTTTGTTCTACAGTCTGTATCTTCTAAGTGATGAGGTTGTGTGTTCTTGTTTTCAAAGTAGAGCAATTTTGTTCATCAGTATAATGCCAGCAAATTTCACAGATATTTACCAACGACGTGGATTATTCACAGCATTTCTTGCCACCAAAGGAGTTGACGAGCTCACACAACTATCTTAGCCATACAGACTCATAGGGATCTGTTTATAAAGAATTGGCTTTGCAAATGTCTCAATCAGGGGCGGACTGACCATTCCGGCACTCGGGCACTGACCGAGGACCCAGGGTCAGTAGGGGGCCCCATGAGATGCCCCTGGTACCTTTCATAGGCTTTTTTTTTGGGTGTGGTTTGAGTGTGGACGAGGACACAGGGGCCCCACGATCCCCTATTGCCCGGGGGCCCCATGAGTTGTCAGTCTGCCCCTGGTCTCAATATTCATGCAAGCATAATGAATAACTATCTCTTACCTTTGTAATATGTGTGCAAGTTTCTTTGTTGCCTTTCACTGGTTGAATGTATTATTCTCTGACTAGGGGCGGACTGACCATTTGGAAACTCGGGCACTGCCCGAGGGCCCGGGGGGTCAGTAGGGGGCCCCATGAGATGCCCCTGGTACCTTTTTCATAAGCTTTTTTGAGTTTGGGCAAGGACACAGGGGCCCCATGATACCCTATTGCCCGGGGGCCCCATGAGTTGTCAGTCCGCCCCTGCTTCTGTCCTCATTGATATACTCTAGGCAGATATTCAAGTCATTGATTTGGAGATTGTTACTTGAGGGAGCATTCACAAATCTACATATGAAATACAGTAACAAAATATGGAACCATAAGCGAGCAAAAATGGAAGTCATGTCAAAAAAATGACTTTCCTTGTTACAATTTGAACCGAAAATGTGCGAATATTGATAGCTTCCTTAAATTCTTCCCTTGCTGAGGTGGCCACCTTCTTGATTAAAATGAATTATAGGTCCTGGCAGGGACAGGCAGACTCCATTGGTTGATCCCCTATAGCCCGGGGGCCCCATGAGTTGTCAGTCCGCCCCTGTCTCTGACATTCGATCTTAAGAGAAAAATAGCCATAAGAACATTTGACCATGAGAGTTAAAGTGGTTGTAAACTTCTGAAATGAAAAATGAAAAGAGCATATCCTCATATAGTGTGTACTTGCCTCTATCCAAAGCACCTAGTCTGATTTCTGGCTGTTGTCTCCTTCTTCTGACAGTTTATGCTGACACCATGAAATCCTGGGTGATGCCCCCCTCTCCCCCCCAGCACACAGCAGCAGGTGACTGACAGCCTTAGCTGTGCATGCTTCCTTATAAAACTGTGTAGAGGGGGGAGTGTTCATTCCCTCTACTCAAGTCACAGATTACACTCAGCTCCCTGCTCTGTGCTGTGTAGTCTGTGACATCAGATCCCCTCTGCCTGCCTTCTGGAGCTCAGAAATGGTGTCTAAATTCTGCACTTTGAACTACTGTGGAAAAGGGAAGGCCGCAGATAAACAGGTACAGCCTATGTAGGAGGATTTGTTTCCTCTATGTGTATCACCTGAGGCTTGTCACTGTGGGGGTATGTCTAAGTGTTTACAACCCCTTTAACATTCAGCATCAACATAGTACCCTAACAATATAGGCCAGTGTTTCTCAGCCAGAGTTTAATGGTTAATGGAACCCTAGGGTTCCTTCAGAACTTGCTAGGGGTTCCTTGAGCAAAAGGCATTTTTTAGCTCTCAGATAAGTAATCAATGACACCAATGATCTTTTTAGCTATCTGTATTGGTGGGAGTGGAAAGGGAATTTCTCCTAATAGCTACAAATATAAAGAAAGTTCATCAAAGTGACCATCATGCTAATGTACTGTGAGCTGTAGACTAGCATTGTTTCTGCACTCAGTCACATTTATATACTAGAGGAGATGATTTTATTGCATGTGCAACTCACACACACATTCTATCCTGGGATAAATGTGCAGATGCATGAAAGTTGTATCACTTCTTCAAATCAAAATGTTTTGTAGAATCTGAACTCAGAAGAAGACCAGGAGGAGCATTGACATTGCAGTGATGGAGGGAATCACCTTTGCTAGCGGCTTACTTACACGTTATGGCAAAATGCTCCTACAGGCCCATCATTTCTCAATGGCTCTGGCAGCTTAGTTCTGCTTTTGGCATTAAAAACTGAAACCAGTAACAGTTGTGTAAATGTGTTAAAGCTGAATTCCATTTATTCAGCAACTTTGTAAAAAGTACAGGCACATCATGAATTAAGTGCTAATAGCTACCTGTCACATAGTGGGTTTACCTCTATTGTTTATATCCAAGTCTGTGAGAGAGGAGAGAAGCACAGAGAGCAGCTATGCCTACCCATCCGCTCTGCTGCCCATTCACAGAAGCCTTTGTATTTTGTAAATGAATTCACGCAATACAAAGGCTTCTGCGATTGTACACGAGGAGGGGAGGGGTGAGCATAGTAGCTGCACTGACTCTACACTTGAAGGGGCTGAGAGCAGCTGAGTCCACTGTCGGAACTCTGGAAGCTCTGCTGCTGGAGCACAATCAACCTGTCCGATTATAAATAATAGAGATGAGCCCAGGAGGTGACAGGCACCTCATTGGACTTAACTCATAGAGTGCCTTCATTTTTGCTTAATTCCTGTAATTCAGCTTTAATTGAAGCATCTACAATTAATGGATAATTGTTAAAGTGACTCTCCAGTTATAACTTTTTTGGGATTTTTTTGTTGCATAGAGTGGTAAAGGGTTGGGACCTCTAATAGATTTTTATTGCTATGTCGATCTTGGAAAAAACTACCTGCGCTTCCTGTTCTGGTGACATTACAAGAAATGACGGGAAATGCTTAGTGGGGGTTAAAGACAGCAGTTATATCCTGACAAATTTTCTTATCCTGCCCCACAAAGGTATGGTGGGTGATCTTATTTTATATGAACTATTATTCCTGCGCCAACAGATTCCCACAGGTACTATACTGCTGCTGTGCACTGTGCAAAAACACAAACCACAATAAATATTAAATAAACCAGCGCAAACATAGACCTCAAAAATTAATAAAATTAATAAATAATATTATTTAAAAATCCACAAAACAGAAAAAATCATTTTTTTGTCCGTGAAATATACATATCTTAGAATCTTTCTTCAAAATAAAGACTATTACCACTCACATTTTTCTCCTCTTTCAAAAAGCATGTTTATTAAAAACCAAACTCTTCCAGACCGATAATGGACACTGTTAATGCCTCCTTAAGACTCTCACATCCCAGCTCAGGATACAGCAGCAGCTATGCAGACTAATTCCACAGATCCCAGAAAAATGGCCACTGGAACGCACCGCTCAGCGTGCGTTCCACTCACCGGAAGTGACGTTAAAATTAAAATTAAAATAAAATATAAAATAAAATAAAATTAAAATAAAATAAAAATAAAATTAAAATAAAATAAAATTAAAATTAAATAAAAATTAAAATAAAATAAAAATAAAAATAAAATTAAAATAAAATTAACATAAAAAATAAAATAAAAATAAAATTAAAAAATAAAAATTAAATTAAAAATAAAATAAAAATAAAAATAAAATTAAAATTAAAATAAAATAAAAAAAAAATAAAAAATAAAATTAAAATAAAATTAAAATAAAAATAAAAATTAAAAATTAAAATTAAAATAAAATTTAAAATAAAAATAAAATTAAAAATAAAAAATAAAATTAAAATAAAAATAAAATAAAAATTAAAATAAAATTAAAATAAAAATAAAATAAAAATAAAATTAAAATAAAATAAAATTAAAAATAAAATTAAAATAAAATTAAAATAAAAATAAAATTAAAAATAAAAATAAAAATTAAAATTAAAATAAAATTAAAATAAAATAAAAATAAAAATTAAAATTAAAATTAAAATAAAAATAAAATTAAAATAAAAATAAAATTAAAAATAAAATAAAAAAAAAAATAAAATAAAATAAAAAATAAAATTAAAAATAAAATTAAAAATAAAATAAAAATTAAAATTAAAATTAAAATTAATTTAAAATAAAAATATAATTAAAATTAAAATAAAATTTAAAATAAAAATAAAATTAAAAATAAAATTAAAAAAAAAATTAAAAATAAAATAAAAATTAAAATTAAAATTAAATTAAAAAAAAAAATAAAATTAAAATAAAATTTAAAATAAAAATAAAATTAAAAATAAAATTAAAAATAAATTAAAAAAAAAATTAAATAAAAATTAAATAAAAATAAAATTAAAAACAAAAAAAAATTAAAAATAAAATAAAAATTAAAATTAAAATTAAAATAAAATTTAAAATAAAAATAAAATAAAAAATAAAAATAAAAATAAAATTAAAATAAAATTAAAATAAAAAATAAATAAAAATAAAATTAAAATAAAAATTAAATTAAAAAATAAAATAAAAATAAAATTAAAAATAAAATTAAAATTAAAATTAAAATAAAATAAAAATAAAATTAAAAATAAAATTTAAAAATAAAATTAAAAATAAAATTAAAAATAAAATTAAATAAAATAAAAATAAAATAAAATTAAAAATAAAAATAAAATTTAAAAATAAAATTAAAAATAAAATTAAAATAAAATTAAAATTAAAATAAAATAAAATTAAAATAAAAATAAAAATTAAAATAAAATTAAAATAAAAATAAAATTAAAATAAAAATTAAAATTAAAATAAAAATAAAATTAAAAATAAAATAAAAAATAAATAAAATTAAAAATAAAATTAAAATAAAATTAAATTAAAATAAAAATAAAATTAAAATAAAATTAAAAATAAAATAAAAATAAAATAAAATTTAAAATATAAAAATAAAATTAAAAATAAAATTAAAATTAAAATAAAATTAAAAATAAAATAAAAATAATAAAATAAAAATAAAATTAAAAATAAAAATAAAATAAAATAAAATAAAAATAAAATAAAAATAAAAATTAAATTAAAAAGAATTTATTTTTAATTTTATTTTATTTTTATTTAGAATTTTTATTTTTATTTATTTTGAATTTTATTTTAATTTTATGATTAATAATGTTATAATTCTTAATTTTCTGATTTGTATCATTAAACGATATGTGTATATGTAATTTTTATGGTTGAGGCTTTTAATAATTAAGTTTAAGTATGTGAACAATTTGTTACCAATGTAAAGGGCTCTCACGTTGCACAGGGGGAGAAGCAGTATCTATTTCTACTTGGGAGGTAGTTGTGACCAATGGTGGAGATGGGTGGGCTCCTCTTGAGTATTTAAGGGATAGTGGACAGGAGATGGACGTCTTGAAAACGCCCTGAGGGAGGGGCGAAACGCAGGTTGCGCATTTCCGGTCTATAACCCGTACGTCTGACGTCACTTCCGGTGAGTGGAACGCACCGCTCAGCGGCCGTTTTTCTGGGATCTGTGGAAAGTTTTAGTCTGCATAGCTGCTGCTGTATCCTGAGCTGGGATGTGAGAGTCTTAAGGAGGCATTAACAGTGTCCATTATCGGTCTGGAAGAGTTTGGTTTTTAACCTCCCTGGCGGTATTCCCGAGTGTAGCTCGGGGTAACATTTCAGTACCAAGAGCGGTAACCCCGAGCTACACTCGGGCTTACCCTGCGGCACTGCTCCGGCATGTGTTCTTCACTTACCTTACCCTGCGCTCCCACGATGTGTCCCCTGCAGCGTCCCCGGCCATCTCCTCCGGCCGATGCCGGCATCCGGCTTCTGTGTCCTGTCCCTGTGACGTCGGGACGTACGGGCGCTGCCGCAGCCGGCGGCGGGAAATTTAAAAATTTTAAAAAATGTCATTTTTTTTTTTTACATTTTACATAGTAAAACATTGCTGTCTCAACCAATTTCACATACATATTGTCCCTAGTGCTTTGTCCTGCGCCCTGCCTGCATTTTGTCTGTTCTTTCTGCCTGGAAACTGAGAAATGTCCATGGCGTCCAAAAAGCGTCCCTTTAGGTCAAAAGCGGTTTAGATCAGCTAGAGAACAGTGATAGTAAATCAGAACCACTTGCAGAATTGAGTGATAATGATTCGTGGGGGAAATTCGTCATCAGACACTAAAAACGATTTTGCGACTTTGCTCAGCAATGTGCGAACTTGGCGCTCTATTTCACATTTCAGTGTTTTTGGTTTGATTATATTATTGAATTAAATTTTTTATTATTTTTTTATATTATTTTTATGATTATTTATTAAATTATAATTTATGATTTTGTGTTTCAAATTTTATCATACCCGGGATGTTTACTAGACTCTTGTTCGGACAGATTTCAGTGAGTTTTTCCTAAAAATTACAGCCTACAATAAAAAAAATACATATTTCCATGCAAAAAAATGGTACTGCTTTCAGCACCAAAAATCTGAAATAATCATACCAACAGGGAGGTTAATAAACATGCTTTTTGAAAGAGGAGAAAAATGTGAGTGGTAATAGTCTTTATTTTGAAGAAAGATTCTAAGACACTATGTAAGTTTTTTTCTCCCTGGTTGAACGGTGGAGCCTATTTGGATCGTTGAAGATCCCCCTAGAGTGAACAGCAAAGAGGGTATTAGGATCCCTAAAAGTCCTAAAAAGTGTCCCATTCACCTAAATCTGGTGAGTGTATTCGATGTTGGTTTCACGGGTGGAAGGTGGAAGTTTCTTTTGGTGTATTTGAAGAGTCTTTGGGAAAGAAGAAAGTCACTTGATTAATGTTTTTTCACTTGATATTTTTCACTTGATTTATTTTTCACTTGATATTTTTTCACTTGGAATTTTTTTCACTTGATATATATGTATATTTCACGGACAAAAAAATAATTCTGTTTTGTGGATTTCTTAATAATATTAATTATTCATTTTATTAATTTTTATTATGATGCACTTTATTGATTGACGGTGTGTAGAGGTCTATGTTTGCGCTGGTTTATTTAATATTTATGGTGGGTGATCTGCTTGAAGCTGAACCCCAGGCAAAGAGCTTTAAACACAGATGCATACAGGGGCGGACTGACAACTCATGGGCCCCCGGGTAATAGGGGATCATGGGGCCCCTGTGTCCTTGCCCATGCCTATGAAAAAGGTACCAGGGGCATCTCATGGGGCCCCCTTGGGCAGTTTTCAAATGGTCAGTCCGCCCCTGAATGCATATAACATATAGTGAAGGAAATAAGTATTTGATCCCCTGCTGATTTTGAATGTTTCCCACTCACAAAGAAAGGATCAGTCTAAAAATCGAATGGTAGGTGTAACACTGAGAGACAGAATAGCAGCAAAAAATTCAAAAGAAATTCATGTCTAACAAATTATGCAGTGATCATTTCTTTGTGAGTGGGCAAACATTCAAAATCAGAGGGGATCAAATACTTATTTCCTTCACTGTATATTGGAAATATATATAAAGGATTTGCAATTTTTTTTATTTACACATTTCTGCCACACAGTACAACCCTGTCTGGTAGGGCAGAATATCAGATTTTTCTCTGATGCAGTTACATAGGTATTATCTTTCTCCCGCCCTGTCACTGCACAGTGAAGCAGAAGCAGCAGACTGATGAGCTCACCTCTCATCTCTCTGTCATTCTGATCTCTCCTCCAATGAGCATGCTCCTTGTTAGCACAGAAGAACTGCAAAGATTAGCTCCAAGTGCTGCTTCTGACCCCCACCCAGTGTTCTGCTATACAGGGACTGTTGGAGGCTTATTCCATGTTAAAAATACATTTAAAGATGTTTCAATAAATACCGAGCTGTAATAATCTGTGTGTTTTATAACTACCTAGAGTTTAAATTAATGTAAAAAAAAAGGTAAAAAGCCCATACTGTATTTTCTTTCTGTAAATTTTGTGTAAGCTTCTGCTTAACCTCTTGCCGTCCGCCTGCTGTTTATAAACGGCAGGGCGGTGGCAGTCCAGGGGCGGGTTGCTGTTCATAAACGGCACCCGCCTTTTCTAGCTGTGTGCGCTCCCTGGGAGCGCGCACCACCGCGATTTGGTGCCTGCTGTGTCATCCGGACACAGTGAAACACCGATCGTCGGACGGGACCTCTGTACGAGGTCCCGATCATGTGATCACTGATTGGCGAATCAGTGATCACATGCAAAGTAGTAAGCAAGATGTCACTTGTGACATCATTGCTTACTATGTGTGAAATCTGTGAATGATCACAGAGGTCACATGGTACAAGGCTATTCACAACAGCCTTGTACCATGTGACAAGCTGTGACCAATCACAGCTCACTCAGTAATTCTCAATGACTGCAAGAATGCAGACAGAGAGAAAGAGAAATAATTGCTTTTACATCCTATATGGGTGTAAAAGCAATCAGTGTAAAAAAAAAAAAAAAAAATCTTCATCACCCCCCACAAGTAGTACAGTGTCACCATGGTGACACTGTACTGCTAGGGTGACAGTATGTAAAAAAAAATAAAATAAATAAAAAATAATAATATAAAAAAAATAAAATAAAAATGTAAAAAAAAATGTTTAAAAATTATAATTTTTGGTTATAAACTAATTTGGATTTTTTTTTTTTTACTAAAAAAATAACGGAATAAATTTTGGCCAAGATTTATGATGAAATATTATTTATATTTGCAAAATTTTATTTAAAAAAATAAACTTTTTTTTTCAAAATTTTTGGACTTTTTCATTATCATAGTAAAAAAAATTAAAATCCCAGCGGTGAATAAATACCACCAAAATAAAGCTTTATCTGTCTCAAAAAAATGGTAAAAAATTCATATGGGTACAGTATTGCATGACCGCGCAATTGTCATTCAAAGTGTGATAGCGCTAAAAGCTAAAAATTGCCCTGGACAGGAAGGGGGTAAAAATGAAACACAAAAAGGGTTTCATACAAGGAATTGTCATGTTTGCCCAGCCTCCTGTTAATTACATCTTCCTTCTCTAATCTACATACAGCAAATGGAAGAAATCTGGGAGAGAAGTGCGCTGGATGATGGATGCCCTTCAACATGCCAGGTACAAACAGCCATCATGTGCTGTGCCACTCACCTGGTTCCTCAGTGTGGCTGGAGACATTCTACTAAAAGAGAAACCTCAGTCCAACTCATCTCACCTAGACTACTTTCCATCTCCGACGACCCTCACCTGAAACCAACAGGAAGCTTAACACCGGTGAGTGGGCTGACCAGTGTCCATAGAGGAAATCCCTATTTTAAAGTAAGCTTTTATCATCATTCTACTGTCTACCGCCGATTGGCAAGCTCGGAGTTTTGCCTATCAGCACTGACTAAACCACTGAGACATCAAATGTGGAACACCACACATTGGTGGCAACGCTGCCATCATTATGCTGACTAAACTGCAGCAGTTTCCCATGATTGATGATGGGAAAGTAATCTACTGAAAGTGATCAACACTACATTCCTTGGAGATTTTGTTCATCAAGAATAAAAGCTTGGCACTAAGAAGTAACCAGGAAGAGAACGTGTCTTATATCTATGACACTAAGGTGTAGGGGCGGACTGACAACTCATGGGGCTCCCCGGGCGATAGGGGATCATGGGGCCCCTGTGTCCTTGCCCAAACTCAAAAAAGCCTATGAAGAAGGTACCAGGGGCATCTCATGAGGCCCCCTACTGACCCCGGGCCCTCGGGTAGTGCCCGAGTTTCCAAATGGTCAGTCCGCCCCTGCTAAGGTGCCTTTTTTTTTTTTTTCCCATGATTGATGATGGGAAAGTAATCTACTGAAAGTGATCAACACTACATTCCTTGGAGATTTTGTTCAACAAGAATAAAAGCTTGGCTCTAAGAAGTAACCAGGAAGAGAATGTGTCTTATATCTATGACACTAAGGTGTAGGGGTGGACTGACAACTCATGGGGCCCCTGGGCAATAGGGGATCATGGGGCCCCTGTGTCATTGCCCAAACAAAAAAGCCTATGAAAAAGGTACCAGGGGCATCTCATGAGGCCCCCTACTGACCCCGGGCACCTCGGGCAGTGCCCGAGTTTCCAAACGGTCAGTCCGCCCCTGCTAAGGTCTCTTTTTTTGAAACAGAGATCAGTGGCGATCCTGAGGATTGTTGCTGATCTCCGATCATTAGTGGTTTAGGAAACAGAGATGACCAGTGTATGATGGAGCGATGTCAGCCCTTGACTGGTGATCTGTGTTCTCCCTCCAGATTCTCCAGCCCAAAGCTGGAGAATCGGAGGAACCGCAAACGAAGCAGAGGTAATTTGCCGCTGCTTAGTAAACGGTGTTGGCTGATCTCTTACTGTAATCTCGTGAGATTATAGTAACAGCAGCCGTTTTTCAGCGTTCAAAGTGTTTGTAGATCGCTTCTGTCTCCATTCGGAGAGGTGATCTACACCGCTTCATAAAAAGGCATTCAGAGGAGAACTCTCTCTGAGAATGCCGGAGAACTGAGCAGAGGTCATTTACCACTGCATGATAAAAGGAAACCTAAATCTTGAGTTGTGATCATAAAGGGCCTATAAATAAACACAACTTTCCTCCATGATTCACACATTTCTCATCTAGGATTCAATTAAAAAAATGTGTGAGTCTTGGGTGAAAGTTCTGTAAAATTTGGGTGAAAACATTAATAAATAAACCCCTAAATGTTAGGATTTTCCATTCATTTGGGTTCTGAGAATGTTCGTCTCTCTGTTTCAAAAAATGTATGCACTTCGTTCTTTATGATAAAGTTACCAAAAAATACAGATATTGTTGCCTGTTCAATCATTGTTATTGTTTTTGGAGATTTGCACATTATTATTATTATTATACAGGATTATATAGCGCCAACAGTTTGCTCAGTGCTTTACAATATAAAGGGAGACAATACACCAACAATACATGGGCATCACAGTGGCTAAATGGTTAGCACTTCCGCCTGGCGGCACTAGGGTTGTTGGTTTGAATCTCAACCATGGCACCACCTGCCTGGAGTTTGCATGTTCTCCCTGTTTCTGCGTGGGTTTACTCCAGTTTCCTCCCACACTCCAAAAACATGCTGTTAGGTTAATTGGATCTGGTCTAAATTGTCCCTAATATGTGTATGTATGAATGTGAGTTAGGGACCTTAGATTGTACACCCCTTGAGGGTTAGGGACTGATATGAATGTACAATATAAATGTAAAGCGCTGTGTAAATTGACGGTGCTATAGAAGAACTTGAAATGAATAATAAATAAATAATACAGTTCAATACAAGAGGGATAGGAGGGCCTGATCCTGGGAGCTTACAATCTAAGACATGTTCAGAACATGTACATAAAGCATGACTGAGGCACGAAAGGCCAGCAACATAGGATATTTTAAAAGTAGCTGCTGTAGATAGCACTAGACAAGTAGATTTGGCCAGTGTTTTACTTCCACAGCCCAAACGTGCCAGTGACTGGTGGGCACTTAATAAGGAAAACAGAAAGAAACTGAATGAAAAGAAGAATGGGAGAAGGATAAGAAAGAGGGGGAGGGAGGGGGGCATTGCAGAAAATTAGATGTCTGCCTGTCAACTTCAGAGAGGTTGAGTGATTGTTCACAGATCTAGAAGTCGGCAATAAAAATGCCAATTTTTTTATTGGACACAGGTAGGATATAGTAAAACAAACTTTGTGCTATCTACAGTTAGATTTAATTACCTGATAATTTGACAAAAGTGTCCCTTGGTCCCATTTGGTTCTGGATGTCTAGCTGTTTATGTTTTTGTAGATGCCATTTTTACATAGTCAGGTCCATAAATATTGGGACATCGACATAATTCTAACATTTTTGGCTCTATACACCACCACAATGGATTTGAAATGAAACGAGCAAGATGTGCTTTAACTGCAGACTGTCAGCTTTAATTTGAGGGTATTTACATCCAAATCAGTTGTTTTGGCCACACCTAATGTTTTTGCTATCTCTCTGATGGGTTTGTTTTGCTTTTTCAGCCTAATGATGGCTTGCTTCACTGATAGTGACACCTCTTTGGATATCATCTTGAGAGTTGACAGCAAACAGATTCCAAATGCAAATAGCACACTTGAAATGAACTCTGGACCTTTTATCTGCTCATTATAATTGGGATAATGAGGGAATAACACACACCTGGCCATGGAACAGCTGAGAAGCCAATTGTCCCATTACTTTTGGTCCCTTAACAAGTGGGAGGCACATATGCAAACTGTTGTAATTCCTACACCATTCACCTGATTTGGATGTAAATACCCTCAAATTAAAGCTGACAGTCTGCAGTTAAAGCACATCTTGTTCGTTTCATTTCAAATCCATTGTGGTGGTGGTGTATAGAGAGCCAAAAATGTTAGAATTGTGTCGATGTCCCAATATATTTATGGACCTGACTGTATATTTAACATGACTGGATGACTGGTGAGATTATGCTGAGGGTTTCACCACTGCAAAACCAGCCATTTATTAGGCAATTCGATATGTCTTATTCAAGCGACACTTAATGGCTTGACACAAGTTTATACCCAAGTTGAAAAGAAACTGCATGCAGACATGATTTTGACTTAATTTTTTTTTTGCATCTGCAGATCTCCTAACCACTCCCTATTCTGACAATGAACTGTTGGATGTAAAGTTTGCAAACCAGTCTTCCCCTCTTCTAGATTCTCATGGTATATCTGATGAAGAGGGCTCTTCTGAAGTCTTCCTTGCTACGGACAGTGATTATGACTCTAGTAGAGCCCAGAGTCCAAAGGAGTTAGATCTGGTTTATCCCTCTGGTCAGGAGTGTAGCAGGAGAAACATCCGCAGCTTCAGAGATGGGGACACCTGATGTACTTCAAACACATGAGCCCAAAGTAATGACTCAGGAAGACGACCGCCCACAGCAGCTTTATGATAGTGACTTTGTGCTTCCCAGCCGCCAGATTGAACTCCTACGCATTACAGAAAAGCGGCAAGCCTACTGTGTCCGTACCAGCAGCTTGGACTTCCCCAAACAGCCTTACAAGGCATCTCGGAAGTCATGCCCAGGTTCTGTTGATAGTTCTCCAACAGAGTCAAAGCCTACAGGTTATCGCAGTATTCGTGGGCTAAGGACAAGCACTTCTTTTAGCCCAGACCATGATCAGCCATGTGAAAGCTCACGACGGATTCACCGCACACACTCTGTTGAGTGGACAAATGACTTCCAAGAACCTTTGGAACCAAGAACTGTAGCAGGTCAAGGGAAAAAGAACAACTCTGTAACTCTACGGATATATCCGCAGTATGACACTGGTCTGTCTAAAGAAATGAGTGTTAAGGTACAGTAGAAAGCTGCTGTGTGTGTTTCAGATTATGTCCATATCATTTTCTCCATAGGACAGCATGGAACTCTGTACATTGGTGGAGGGGTTATCAGCCCAGCAGAAACACAGACCAGCATTTCTCTGTACCGGCCAGCAATAAATATACACACCTGACACATTACACTAGCTTAGCACCAGCTGTCTGTCCAGGATGATTCCTGGGCGGGCTTCCTATTTGCACATCAAATGGGGATCCAACCTATTGAATTCAATGTTAAGTAAACGTCGAAGGCACCTATGTGTGAAGTTTGGCAGAAAAAAAAACATTTAATTTCATTTCAGTGCCTTTATTTTGCCACAATATTTTTCCTTAGCATATAGAATTGAAATAGAAATTTGCAACACCAAAGTGAAGTGAAAGTAGACAATCTTGGAAATACAGTACAAAATATGGTTACACGGTAAAAAAAGGATGCTGCTTTGAGGAAAGAACATTCTAGAACTCCTCTCTTTTACATATAATACATTATGCCTAATTTTCAACTTGGGTACACCGGGAAGTTTTTATAGGGTCAGGTTACTCAATGTTGACCTGACTTTTCTTCGCAAAAGCCTATAACCAGCCATGGTGGAGCAGGCAAGTCATTATCCATTGGTTTTTGGCCTGGTTTTTGCTTGGCAGGGGGTCTCTACAATGGAAACTGTTGTAAAAAAATGGTGTCCCTCATAACCCTTAACACCTAACCATAACCAGACCTTTAGAGCTGATTCACACATGTGCGTGCGGATTGAAGCTCAGGTTTCACAGCTAATTGATACAGTAGTTGTTCACCGGTTCATGTCAGGTTTACACATATGCGGTTTAGAAACGGTTCCCATAGAAGTCATTAGCTCATAATCTGCACCTGAACCTGGAGGTAATGCTCAGAAATCGTACATGACTCTTACTGAATCTGTACTACCAGTGCTCCGGATATATGTGAACAGGCACCATAGGAAGCAATATTTTTCGACATGTCATGCGGATTGGATGTGGTTCAAACTGCTTCCAATCTGCATATATGTTAACCAGCACTTATGCTGAATCGAGAAGGTATCTTGTCACTTTTTTCCTCAATGGGCACAGTGGGCACCATGACAGATTCCTTATAAAACATAGAACATGTAATAATTGTCCTATCCTTATTCAACAAATTGGGAAAAAATCACCTCAACTCACCACCAGATATCCAAGAAATGGACTGAAAGAGTTTTGTAGGCAGGAATGGTTCAAAATCCATGCTAAGTACTGTGCAGCTCTGATCAGCAGCTATAAGCAATGTTTGCTAAAGGTTATTGCTATAAAGAAAGCTCCATTGGCTGGTAAATACTGAAGCAGTATTAAACCCAAAACCATAAATGTGATATGTTGCAGCTTACCAATCTTTAGATGTGGTGGCGGTACTAGTTTTTTTTCTTTTTAGGCTTTTTTCCCTCTGTTTTCCCCTAGTAATCTGACTGGTAACACATCCCCTATATTATTCAAACACCACTCTGAATGAAGGTGCACAGGGGCAAAATTGTCAATCTGGGGGAGAGGAGTTTTAGATGTATTAGCATATTTAAATACACTAAAAATTGAAACTGAACTCCAGCTAATAATTTATAATCAGTTACAGCAAACAGTTTTGTACTTTTGGGATAAAAGTTTGACATAAATATATAAAAGCAGATCATTTTAAGCACCCCTGTCAGTGTTGTATGTTCTGTCTCATCCCTGTAACTGCAAGAGAGCTTTTCTGTTGAAAAACAGACTTACTGGCTGGATCACCAGATGAAATAGAAGAAAGAAAACCAGAGGTGTAACTAGAACCTTAAGGGCCCCAATGCAAGAAACCATAAAGGGCTCCTGGGCCACTGCCTCCAAGCCCGGAGCGCTTCTCTCTGAGCCTGTGGCTCAGAGGTATAGCTTGAAGCTTGTGGGCGCTGATGTCAAAGTTGACCTGAGGCCCCCCCCAGTGTAAGTGAAACCGGGAACTCAGAGAGAGCGGGATGGGCCTGGGCAGGCCCCTGCCTGGCTGGCCCGGGCCCTCTGAGATTACTGAATTTCCTACGCAGGGTGGTGTGGCAAGTGCTTTTCCCTAGCAACACAGTGCAAAGCCTAATGTGACAGGGAAGCCTCACAGGCCCCCTTGTGCATGGGTGGGATCATCATTGTGATCCCCCAAGCTCTGCCCATGTGTGAAGGGCCTATGGCAGTCGCTATGGCAGTATAGATAGTAGGACACCAAGATGTGTTCACTATTATTATACAGAAATGTGCTCAGGATGTCTTCTCCTTCACACTGCCAGGAGACAACCATTCACAGCTCACCTCACAGTACCCCGGACATTCCAATCATGGATTTCTCTAAGTGTAATAGTGCCCTCGATGTTGGAAAACCGGGAGCAAACCGGGTGCACAAGGATTGCTCCAACAGACAAAACGGGTGTGAAGTAAGCATCAGTGCACAAAATCCTGGCACAAGATAGTCACTAATAGGCACAAACAAGCTGTAAGAATGGCGCCAAATGGGCATACTGTAAACCAGGTGCAAGATCGGTGTTCATTACAGATCTGATAAGCAATAAATTAGCATTATTGTGTACTTATCCCACACCTCTATTAGCTGTTGTCCACATTGGTTGTCATGTAATACAGTACCTGAAGCTCTGGTCAAGCCACTACATGAGGACAGCTAAATGCCGGACATCTTAATGGCTTTCAGGTCTGTCAGTGCTAAGTGAGCAAAGAACCGCATAGGGCAGCACCGCCCCCCCCTGCATGGGACACACCACCATAACATGTAAACTAGGGTGCTGTGCATTTATTTCAAGTAGTATCTCAGGTGTTTGAAATCCTGCATGCTGGTGGCAAGCCAAGAACACTGATGGGGACACTGATGTAAGGAGCAATCCTGGGGCCCTTCACTGGGGCCCTTTACTCCTCCTTCCTGCTATCTGGGCACCCCCGTCCACAGTGGCGGAACGCCAGGGCCTGGTCACAGATGTGACCTTTGCAACCCTTGTAGTTCCGCCACTGAAGAGAACCTAAAAAAAAAGAATCTAATTCAGCCATCACATCTAGGAATTGGGAAGCTGCAATATAATAAATATTTGCTTTTTGGGTTTAGTACTGCTTTAACTTTAATGCCAATGAGGGAGGTTCCAGTGGCAGACAAATATAAGGATTCACAAACTTCTTTTGAAAACTTTGTTGCTCATAAAAATGTCAATATTAGGTCATGTCAGTGCTGAAGGTTAAAAATTCAGTAGAGTTGGAATAATATTAGCTCTAGGTACACCTATAGTCCAATATAAATGTGATCTAAACTTTATCAAATCGATTATAACAGAATTTCACAAGAGGAAGTTGCAGGCAGTGACTGGGCCAGGATCTGGCTCCATTGTGGGAAATTGGCAGTTAAGTCAGGGCACAGTGGGTTTTGGGTCCCTGCGGTGCTCTGGAAGCTGAGGGGATGTTTCCTACACTAATATGCTGGCGGCAGTTTACATACCATGAGTTCAGTAAAGAGTCACTTTTAAACATACCAAGCATTTCAGATTCTTCTTGTGTTAATTCAGCCAACGGATGCCCTTAGCACTGTATATATGAGCAGTATATTTGGAAGTTGAGTTATTAAAGGTGATAGTTTCTATTAAAGAGGTTTACATTTTCAGTGACCCCCTTTAGGCTGAGACTGTTGAATAGCAGCAGGGTCCCCTGCCATTCTGTATACTCAAACATGTTCCAGTGCCCTGGATTTCTAAAGCAGGACCCCTGTCAGCTTTTTCCTCCCCTAAAGAAACCCAGCCTGTTCCTCAAGTGAATAGCACAGGCCAACTTGGTCATGAATGGTCTTCCGTAGGTAGACATTGTTCAAATATCCTATATTATTTTTTGTTACATTCCCACTCCATGTGCTCCAAGCACCAGTTTATTAAATAGATCCTTCTGGATACTTTCCTTTTAAAAATCATCTAGTCAGAAGTAAAATACCAAAAAAAAAATGTTTTTGTCTGAACCAGATGTCAAGAGGATATGCCGTTTAAAAGGCAATCCTTTAAAACAAGAACCAAAGTATAAAAAGTCATGAGAACCAAAGTATTTAAAGTCCTTTAAAACTAGCCCTTTCTTTCTTTTTATTCTTATGTGAACACAGTTGCACATTACAAGCAAGACACAGGCCCAGGAAGTTGTAAAGCTGGTGGTCCTTCAGATGAATGAGATCTCCAGGAGCATGCTGGGAAGTACAGAAGGCTACTGCTATGCTGAAGACCAGCTAGACCACTTTGCACTGGTTTTCACTTCAGAAAACAACAAGGAACAGTGGCTGGCTGATGATTTTCTACCTTTCGCACTCCAGAATGTGTGGAACAAGGGTCACTTCTCTGTCCGCATCCGAGAGACTTCTCCTTTACACTTTCAGTATGGTCCTGCTACAACGGTATAAGTTTACAACCCGGATGTTGCTCAAACCAATCAACCTTCCGAGGGGCTGTCAGCTCAAATTCAATGCTTCCTTTGCTCAATAAAGCATTTTCCTTGTCCAGAAGTGCGGCCTCTGGTTGGAGATAGGTTTTATGTTTTTTTTTTTTTTTTCTTGTCAACCAAAGACTTATCTTCCTGAGAGTGAAAGAAATTTGACGGGCACATGCGAAAATATCTTTTACCACAACTTCTTCACTGGAAAGGAATCTGGAAAAAGTATTTTTAGAACATCAACATAAAACATACCACTTACACCAAACGAAGCAATACATATTTTTCTCCCCCCCCCCCTCCACCCTTTTCAACAAAACATTTGGGTTTTATTGATGTGTAAGCCACAAAGACTGAATGGGACATTGGATGCCTGTCCGCTTGTATGTATCCAGAGCAAAAGAACAAACAGATAATAACCACAAGAAATTATTTCTTTTTTATGAAAAAAAATATTGTTTATTGTGCTTGTTTTATTGTATCCTGGGAAAAAAAAATATTTTGTTGCACAATTGTTCCTAAAGCAGTGTTTTCTTAAAAAAAAAAAAAAAAAAAAAAAAAACCTTAAAAAAATGTGAGTGCCAGGAAAACCTGATACTCTATGTTGACTACTCTCCCCTGTATGCTTTCATTTTAAAGAAAATGCCTCTCATTAATAGATTTCCATTCATTGCCATGACCTCCGTGCCACAGCCAAGTTTCCTCTATCTCTGTTTCAGTGGTTGTGAATTGGCCTTGCGTATGTTAAAACCGCATGTTTTCAAGTACGCCTCTGTTACTCAATGGGTATATTGAAATTTTGTGGTCCACAGTACAGATTGGTGGTGCTTCCGTGAGAATATCAATGAACTCACTCGTCGAGGCTGTACCAGTCCACGTTCAAACATAAGCAAATTGGCTTTTGAATTATTTGTTGAGATATGTTTGAAGTGTTCTATAATTATGCATTTATCTTGTTACTCTCCGTTCCTATCGCTGGCGTCCATCCTCAACTCTGCCATTTTGTATTTCTCCCTATTCAATTTTCTGTTGTCTTTAAATGAGCCAGACGATAACAAACAAGACATATCAGTTGCTGTTTTTTATTTCTGTAAAAATAAAGACACCACACAGTGTTGAACAAAAGTATAAAGCCCTGGTGCTATTATTGTACAGTTATTAAACATTTTGTCAATATCAAAAAAATTGTGTGGTTTTGAAGAAGGGTTTATGAAAATCCATTAATTAGCAAGAGTTGCAATATAGTTGTAACCTATCAGCCATTAAAATGACTTTGGAAAAATCTATATTTTGTGAGCTAGGGATAGGTAGCAGGTACATAGCTCCCTGGGTTGAGCACATTTTCAGGCTCATATACTAGTCGAGTGATATAGTGACAAACAGTGCTGTGTTTATTGGTGCTATTTAAAGTCTATTTACAGCTGCTGTATAATGTTCCACAAAATAAACATGGCAAAAAGCTCCAAGACAAAATCTTAGCCATGTCCCGGCACTAACTACACACATCCGTGTCCTAAGAGGCAGGCTGAGCAAGCTAAATACTTGTCAGTCTTGACCAGAGGCGGACTGACCATTGGAGAACTCGGGCACTGCCTGAGGGCCCGGGGTCAGTAGGGGGGCCCATGAGATGTCTCTGGTACCTTTCATAGGCTTTTTTGGGTGTGGTTTGAGTGTGGGCAAGGACACAGGGGCCCCATGATCCCCTATTGCCCGGGGGCCCCATGAGTTGTCAGTCCGCCCCTGGTCTTGACATACATTTTTACAGCTTCCACTAACCTTGCAGCTCTCACAGACATGACTTGTCTGTTCCCCAGGCTCAAGAGCACTGACTATGAGTTCCAGGTGAACCTAAATTGCCAACAGGGAGAGGTACAAAACCCAAAGTCTCTAAAGAGAGGACTTTTCCAGGCTCCCTTTGAGACTCTTTGCTGCAATGTCTATACTCTCTTGTGGTCATGAGCTATGAGGTTGCACTGGCAAGCAGCAGAAGTGATGTTGCTTTATGTAGCTGCTGGGCTTACCCTACTAAATGGAGTGAGAAATATGGCCCTCTGGGAACACCACTGTTCTTCCTTTTCGAAAGGCAGCATTTGAACATTTTATGGATGCCAAGGAGACTTCACAAGTAGTTGTGTCAAAGCACACACAACTTGGAGGAGATTCTGGATCTGAAGCTGGACTGACTGTGGAACCAACTGGAGACTTTATCCCCATCATCTCTACATGCAACTAAACACACAAAATTTGATTTCTTGCTCGTTAACAAGTATAACAAATATATTCTTAATACATATTACAGTGTGTTTTTAGTTGAGTATGTTTGCTTACATTTTTTTATTACATGTTTATATTATAGTTTTGATCCTATAGTAGGCACCTAAAGCTTGAAGGAAAATGATGATGACTTTCTTTAGATACGTCTGTTATTTAGCTTACATGTTTTGAATGGACAACCATACAAATCTCACTGTAAATGGGTCTCAGAGTGGAGAGAATGGGTGAATGTGCAAGAATATTCTCTCTCCTAATGTCTTTGAGCCCAGCTTAACAGCTTCAGCCTTGAACAAGAGCAGCTCTACTCCCAGTGTAGGTTTTAGGATGGGGATGCAGAGCTTCATGTTGCAGACAGTCCTAGTTTCAGATTATCTCTGCAAACCAAAATACACACTTAACTTTATGTTAGTCATGTGTGGAAGACCTAAATTTGAACTTTTAGGCTCCATGCACACCGACTTAAAACATTCTGCTTTTTGTTTTGTATTTTGCCCGTAGAAGCAGCTCAGTATTATCCTACATATCCATGCACATTAGGACATTTAGATACATATTTTAGGCTCAGTGTTTAGAAGCAGGGAAAAAAACCTTCTGGTTTGCTTTTTTTAATGGAGTTTTCTGGCAGAAAAAATGCCAAGCACTCCTGAACGCGCCTAACATTGTACAAAAATGTTTTATATGAGCGGGGTTTTTTTTCCTGCCAAGGGAACTGGCGTTTTTATAAACCCAGCGTACATGGATCCTAAGACTCACCATCTCGTTGTTTTATTGCAACAGGAATTCCATTTTTTCCAATGTTTTTCCCCAAGAGGTTTATACCCAGGTTTAAATCTGCTCAGACTTCAGGGAACGACCTGACATGCAGACATAATGAACACAATGGTAATTATGATCAATCTCATGGTTTCTTTTGGTCCAACTTTAGTCCTCAACAGGAACACTTGGGTCGCACAACTCTCCCAATTTAGGCGATAGGAGGGAGAGACAGAGCTTCATATTGCAGATGGTCCTAACTTCACGTTTTGTCTGTACAGTGCCTTGAAAAAGTATTCATACCCCTTGAAATTTTCCACATTTTGTCATGTTACAACCAAAAATAAATTTATTTTATTGGGATTTTATGTGGTAGACCAACACAAAGTGGCACATAATTGTGAAGTGGAAGGAAAACGATAATTGGTTTTCAAAGTTTTTTTACAAATAAATATCTGAAAAGTGTGGCATGCATTTGTACTCAGCCCCCTTTACTCGGATACCCCTAGATAAAATCTAGTAGAGCCAATTGCCTTCAGAAGTAATCTAATTAGTAAATAGAGTCCACCTGTGTGCAATTTAATCTCAGTATAAATACAGCTGTTCTGTGAAGCCCTCAGAAGTTTGTTAGAGAACATTAGTGAACAAACAGCATCATAAAGGTCAAGGAACACACCAGACAGGTCAGGGATAAAGCTGTGGAGAAATTTAAAGCAGGGTTAGGTTATAAAAAAAATCCCAAGCTTTGAACATCTCATGGAGCACTGTTCAATCCATCATCCGAAAATGGAAAGAGTATGGCACAACTGCAAACCTACCAGGACATGGCCATTCACCTAAACTGACAGGCCGGAAAAGGAGAGCATTAATCAGAGAAGCAGCCATGAGGCCCATGGGAACTCTGGAGGAGCTCAGGTGGGATAATCTGTCCACAGGACAACTATTAGTCATACACTCCACAAATCTGGCCTTTATGGAAGAGTGGCAAGAAGAAGGCCATTGTTGAAAGAAAGCCATAAGAAGTCCCATTTGAAGTTTGCAAGAAGCCATGTGGGGGATACAGCAAACATGTGGAAGAAGGTGCTCTGGTCAGATGAGACTAAAATTGAACTTTGCGGCCTAAAAGCAAAACACTCTGTGTGGCGGAAAACTAACACTGCACATCACCCTGAACACACCATCCCCACCGTGAAACATGGTGGTGGCAGCATCATGCTGTGGGGATGCTTTTCTTCAGCAGGGATAGGGAAGCTGGTCAGAGTTGATGGGAAGATGGATGGAGCCAAATACAGGGCAATCTTAGAAGAAAACCTGTTAGAGTCTGCAAAAGACTTGAGACTGGGGCGGAGGTTCACCTTCCAGCAGGACAACGACCCGAAACAGCCATCCAGAGCTACAATGGAATGGTTTAGATCAAAGCATATTCATGTGTTAGAATGGCCCAGTCAAATTCCAGACCTAAATCCAATTGAGAATCTGTGGCAAGACTTGAAAATTGCTGTTCACAGACGCTCTCCATCCAATCTGACAGAGCTTGAGCTATTTGGCAAAGAAGAATGGGCAGAAATGTCCCTCTCTAGATGTGCTAAGCTGTTAGAAACATCCCCAAAAAGACTTGCAGCTGGAATTGCAGTGAAAGGTGGTCCTACAAAGTATTGACTCGGGAGGGGGGGGGAGGCTGAATACAAATGCACGCCACACTTTTCAGATATTTATTTGTAAAAAATGTATTTTGAAAACCATTTACCATTTTCCTTCCACTTCACAATTATGCGCCACTTTGTGTTGGTCTATCACATAAAATCCCAATAAAATTCATTTACGTTTTTGGTTGTAACATGACAAAATGTGGAAATTTTAAGCGGTAGGAATACTTTTTCAAGGCACTGTAAACAAACGCTCCTGTTTGATGTTCATGTGTAGAAGTCCAGAATTTAAATTTTT